GACCTATTTCTTTAATGGACGGTGTAGGAGGTCTCTGCTGTTCCCCCAATGACTAGCCAGGCCTCTCTACTTTTGACTGACCTGGTGGGGGAAGCTTAGATGCTCACTGCTTCCTCATTCCTGAGAGTTCATTGCTTAGGCTTACCACTCCTTGGCTGAGTTCAGTTATTTAAGCAGGACAACTTGGAAGAATGTATTGTGTAAAGGAAAGGGGCTGTGCTGCACACGGTGTGGGACCTTCATGCACCTGGTGTTTGGCTTGTCTTCATAGGTGCTGCGACCATGGCATCGCAAGGCCAGGTCATTTTCTGGAGGTATGGTATTGTCTGCATCTCCTTTGGAAGGGAGGGAATTGCTTTTTTCTTTTTCTAGGACCCTTGGCTGCATCTCCCTGCTGCAAGGCGCTTTCAGGAAAAATTCTTTGTAATTTGACCCTGTACTGCACTCAGCCAGCCTACTGTAATACCAGTCTGGCTTTTTTATATAATCAGTAAGGCCATATAGCTGTCAGTAACCCATGTGCTGTTCATGGACTGCAGCCACAATGGAGATGTGTGTACTGGAAACTGCGTGGCTGGGTTATGCCATCTCAGGTCTGAATGTTGTTGAAGGCCACAGTGTCAATGGCATGAGAAAGGCTCAATGTTCCTGCTGTCAGACCTCAGGCAGTTGCTTAAGCCTCCATCACAGTGGGGTGTTGTGGGCAGAAAGGCAGAAGCTGTCCTGCAGAAAGTTTGCTTTCTCTGTGGTTTGCGAGTAGGAGCTGGGAAGATGTGGAAGCTGTTTTGTGCCTCTCGTTTCAAGCACCTTGGGGAAGTCACAAAAATATCCACCTCATCTGTGTTTTCTGATCTGCAAGAGTTGAAAATAGTTCCCCCCAAAGAGCTAAACTAGTTAGCAAACTTGCTTCAGCATCTGGTGAGCATGGGCCAGAGTTGCCATGCAACCTGACTGTTGGAGCAGAGCTGGCTACCAAAATGCTTCGCTCCCTCTCAGCTGTGGGCTCTTCCCAGCTGGACTGAGGCAAAGGCTCCAACAAGGCATGGGAGAAGCTTGGGGCTTGTATTTACCCTATTGGAAAGGATTCAGCTGTTCAGAGTATCAGTCCAACTGGAGCTGAAGAACAGCTAGGAGCAGACCGTATGTGAATGGAAAAGGCTTCTCATGCGCAAGTCATGCGCCAGCTTTCTCACAGAAGGTATTGAGGAAGCACTGAGTATTGTCAGTGCACTTTTCCCTGATGAAAGTGAGGTCGTTAGTTGAAATAATGCAACGTGATGTAAACATCCACTGGACATCTCATTTGTTGCACATCTGGAACATATGCAATAGCCAGGTCTGTTGTTTTCAAGTGACAGCCCAGCTGGCTTTTGTCAGGGGAATGCAATAACTGAGGGATGTGAAAAAATGAATGCCTACCCCTTACTGCTCTTAGAATAATCCTTATCTGAGTAGCTCTGCCTCCCCTGGGCAGCTATACGCAGCCAAACACTGCAGGTTACTGGAAACAGTGGGCTTCTATATGGCCATTGCCTCTTCTAGCTGATTTTGAAACACAGAAATAGCCCGGGGAGAGAGGTGAATTTCCAGAATGCTTCAGAGGAGCAGTGGGAAGTTCCTATTATTTCAGAAAAAAAAGCAAACCCCCCTGAAAAACCCTCAAAAAATAAAACTGAAACTCTGAGAAAAGTTAAACTCTGCAATCATTAATTACTTATTGGAAATGAAAACCCTTCCTTTTTGGTTTCCCTTGCTGTATTCTATTTTTCCCATACTAATCTTTGATATAGGGAGGAAGGCAGGGGACCTTAAATCTCTTAAAATTCCAGGTCTTTTGATCTTCCTAAGCCGATTTCTGAAGGAAAGCTTACTCTGCAGAGTTAAAGATAAGAGGGGGCTGAGCCCCACTGTGAGTTACAGAGGGGCTGACTGGCCCTTGCAGCATTCAGCTCGTGGCGCCTACGTAAGATAATAACCATGGAAGGAGATCCAGACCAGTCCACGAGGGGCTTCAGAGCTCATCCGTGGAAGGAACTGCATAACAAGAGCACCAGACGTACCTGATTTGGCTAATTGGTAACGCTACCATGGAGAAGACCGTGTGCAGAGCTTCCTTGGGTGCCTGCAGGCTACTGCAGGCGCACTAGAAAACAAGGGTGACTTCAAGGCTCTCGTTCATGCAGACCCAGACATTTGTGTCAGACAGTTTCTGTGCCTCAGAAATGTTGAAAGTGCAAGGGGTGCGGATGATGAAATGATGAAAATTACTTTCCAACTGAACTGTTAGGCTGAATTCTTGCAAAACACAGCTAATGGCAGGATAAGGCTGGGTTGTCAACTTCCTCTTGTTCACCCAGCGCTCTGGATCAATTAAAGAAACATGAAGGCTCGCGGGCAAATATTTTTAAGCCATTTGCAATTCTCAGGCTCTTGGGGTCCACATGGGACACTTGAAAGGGCCTGATTTCCCCCCACCCGCAGGAAAGGATGTGGAAGTGGGGGCTGGAAATCTGTGATACCCAAAATCACCACTTACTTCTGAAAAATCTCTTCTGTAATTAATAAGCAGCTTTTTCTGGAGGCACTATTTTTCCCTCAGATGAGAATTGGGAAGAATCCCTCTGGATGCAACGTTAGCATTCAAGAAATACAGCACGGTACAGAGAAAGGAGTCCGCAGAGGAGAACAAAAGCAATAGTGATGACTAACAGTGTTTGTGAGCCAAAGATGATTTTGCCAGGCATAGTTGTAGGGCAGAAGTGGTGTCTGGGCCAGAGAGTCCTTTCGAGGACAAGGTACGTTGGCATCTGAAGAGACGTGCTCAGAGCCTTTACAGGAGGGAGGCCCAGCGACTCTTCCTCTGCTATCCCTGTTGTGCCCCCTCATGCTGAGAGGCTTCTGGCACTTATGTGTGAAGCCCTCACTTAACCTGCTTGGAGCCATATGTGAGGGGTGGGGAGGTGTCTGTGCAATGAGTACTGCACTGGGATGGGCTCAGTGATTTTTTTTTCCCCCGCCAGAGACGGGGGAGAAGGACACAGACTAGCTAGATGTTAGGGTCAGGTGCACAGATTTAACTGGAGCTCTTCCCCTTGAGCAGATCCGGCATGGAGTCCTAACTCCCAGCAATTTCCCCGGCATTGCTCAGCTCCTTGGCGTGGTTGGGTTACAGAGCAGACAGCAATGTGCCGCCAGCATGGGTCCTCTGACTTGTTTTTTTCCTGCCTGCCTGCTCACAGGCAGGTAGAGGTGTTTGAGTGAGTCATAGCATCTGAGACAGTGTGGTGCAGCCCTTGCTTGCTCAAGATGTGCGTGCTGTGTGTCTAGCCCTTGTATCTTGTGTGAGAGCTGAGGCGGGCCATGGCAACCTTGGCTAACTTTATAACCAGGATGGACCAGCTCTTGGATCAGCTCCATAGAAACTGGTGGAGCTACTTGAGGAGGTAGATGTTATTCCGCATGAGCAAGAGGCTCAGTATCTGCCCTGCTCTGAGCAAGCGCAGGGTTGTGCCACAGTGAGCCTGGCTGAGATCCCAAGTGACTCAGGGCTGGGCCCCATGGGACATGCCAAATCACCAACAGGAGCTGTCACGCTACGTGATCCAACTGAGCCTACAAATGAATGAAATTACCTTACTGCGGGTCCCCAGGGAAAGTAGCTACCGGTAACTGGTTCCTGGCTGTGTGGTCTCTATACTCAACACCCACCAGGACAGATACCTACCGCTTTCCTCCTGGATGGGATCACCTGTGATGGCAGCCATGGGACACTGGGAGGTGTCACTGGGAGCATCAGGACTAGAAGTGCTGTCGTCCTTAATTATAAATGAAACCTGGTGAAAATAGGGAGAAAGTGAAATGTGTGAAGCATACCAGCTCTGAGGGTTTCGAGGCTGCCAGCTTGCTCGAAGGGCTTGATACATACTTGAAATTATAACAAACTCGTGATGAAATACATACTTCTGATCTATTCTCCTAAGTGTGTCGGCATGTGCAGACAGAGTTTCCTCAGCCAACTTTCCACAGGCTTTCAGGGTGAGGCCAGAGAAGACAGGAGGCAGCGGGAGTGCAAGCAAAACTTCTGCAGATCTCTCCTCCCCTCTGGCCCCTTTTTCAGCCTGTCTTCCCTTTCTGCCATCCCTGCCGCTTCATGCAGAAGGGGCGAGTTCGCATGAGGCAGCTCCCTAGTGCTGCTTATCAGCCCTGCGATCGTGGCATCTCTGGTGATTCAGCCAAGATTGGGTAAGAGGCTGCTACAAGCGCACATTAACCAGGGTAGGAGCAGCGCGGTTTCACTGGCATTGAAAAGCACTTACGCAGGAGGCTGCCACAACCCCTCAGCTTGTGTGAAAATGTGTCAAGGATTATGTGTGATGGCTCCACCGAGATTGACGGGACTCTGTGCTTGGCCAGGGTGGGCTAAGCCAGGGCTGTGCTGGGGGTAGACTGCTCCCAAACAGCTCATACATCCCCCAGTGCTCCTTCTGGTGAGCTCCTGGCCTCCTCTGCCAGGGGCTGCTCCAGCTCTGTTTCTCTTGGCAGGTGGTTTCTCCTCCTCAGACTGGTTCACAAGTCATTTTTCCATCCATGCGTGGGGAGACCCAAAGCCAGCCAGTTCACAAACCTGGCCCTATTTCCAGTTCCCAGCTGCACTCTCCCTGGCTCGTAGGGGGTATCTTCCTGGGTACAGTTGCTTTGCTCACCTCCCTGGGGAGCCGGTCCCTCTCAAGCGTCAGCAGGGATTGCCAGAGCAGGAGGGACAGGCTGCATTTACTCACTGGGAAATGCAGGTAGGAGTGCTCCCAGTTGGGGCTAGCTAGCTCTTTCCAAAAAGAAAACCTAGATCTCCTCTCCTCCCGCTTCCTGGTCTCTTGGCTCAGATGAAGAGTGCTCCCCTGTTTGCCACTGCTGTGGTCCTACTTCTCACTCATCCACCTTGTTCCAGGCTGCAGCTCTCCTGCCTCAGCAATAACCTTGTCCTTTCCTTTTTTCCCAAACAGCATGACTACTATCATTATAGTCCTGGCAGCAGTGATTGCCCTGATCATTGGTTTTGGTGTCTCAGGTATGTGACTGGTTAGATTTCTTGACGGAACTGGGGGTAATGAAATTCAGCCCTGCTGCTACCAATGTCTGGAGACTCCATTCCTCCATGGGGTGCAGTGGCTGAAGTGGGATACTGTGTGGCGATGCAGTCTATGATCCTTTAATTAAGGCTTGCTTTATAAAGCTTATATGCAAAATGGCTGATTTTAGGATTGGAAAAAGGGGAAAAAAACCACATTGTGTATATCACTTCAGCAGCCACCTGCAAGGCATCATCAGCTACACTTGAACCCCAAATTTCCAGCACTTTTGTGCAAACCCAGGGCGCTGCTGGAGCTCATGGTGTAATGGCACTGACTGACGCGTGGGCTATTTGCTGAAGGTGAAACATGCTGTAATAGTGGGCTGCATCTTCTAGACTCGTCGCTGTTTTCCTGTCAGGTTAGCAAGCGTGTGAGGCAGATCCTTTCCAAAGATGGCACAGCTCGAACCTGCCAAATTACAAGGATAGGCTCTATCCACGCTTTGGCCGTGTGTGTGGCCCTGCTGAATGATACTGGCTGTGCGAAAGACACCCCTGGGGAGCGAGTTCCAGGAAAGAGCAGGTTCCCAGTCAGCCAATGGGGATTCACGTTCATATATAACTGTCATCCTTGTAGACTTGAATGCTCTCTTGAAAATTAGCCAATTTCTCCTCTCACCAAGGAAAAAGAATGTGAGCTCTTGTATGTTGTAAATACTGCAGAGATTTTTACATCACACATATGCTCAGGGCCGGTTTGAAGAACAGCATTTGGTGTTCAGAGCAGAATGTTATGAAATCTGTGTTGGCTCTTCATTTCTATGGAGACTTTTCAGAGGGCTGGCCCCAGCTTGCACAAGGGGTTGTGCACAAGTGAGGCCCAGCTGTTTGAGGGCAGCTCCATCGTGCCCCTGTGACCCGTGCTTTCATAGCAGAATTTAAGGCTTTTTTTTTTAATTATCTTGGGTGCTGGGCTGTTAGTAACTGACCCATTCAGCTCCATCCATTGTGCTATGGGAAGCCATCTGAGGAAGGGGTTTGATAAGCGCACAGCAGCCTGTGACGCTGGAGACGGAGTGCTGTTAGCTGCAATTTTCTTGGGCTTGGAGCTCTAAACCTAAACATAACCTAAAATCTTAAACATACTGTGTTCCTTATCCCGGACAGAAGGAGAAAATGGTATTTATTGCTAAGTCAGGCAGCATCTGCCAGGATGGGGCACATTCTCCTGGTCACACAAGATAACAAAAATGTGTCAAAAATGTTGGACAAAATACAGCCTTGAGTATGCTAAGCAAGAACTTTTAGGGAAGGGCTGCATGGGAAAGAGCACCCACATCAGGGAAGGAGTTACTTCTCAGGCTTACTGGTCAGGATTCAGCCTGAGGAGATGTCTGCATTCCCAGAGAAGGGAAATGCTGATTTTTCTTAAACAAAAGAAAACAAGTTTGATTGCAGTGAGGGTGAAACAGTAATCTCTTTTTTCTCTGCCAATACTATGCCTTGCGTAAAGAAGGTCCCAACTAAAAAAAGACTCCAAAACCCACACTCTTCTGAAAGATGCAATGAGAAAAATCCTTTATACGTGTAAGCAAGCAAGTAAAGACCATGCTAATGCTTTTCAAACTTGTTCCTCCAAATATGAGAAACTGCCTTTCCAAGCAGCCTATCTGCTAAAGAAATGCTCCTGCACTTTAATCTCTGTAAATAAGCCATGGGAGCTGACCTCTGCCAGCTGCACCAGTGCATTAGCAGCTGCTCCTGGCACACTCCTGCATTGGCTGAGCCTTGTCTGCCTCTGGGCTCGTGAGCCACAATCCAGCAAGAGCACATTTCCTTCCTCGGGGTGCTCCGGCCTTTCTCCACACTTGTGTTTTCTCATGCCATGCTTTCTCATTACAGGGAAACGCTCCATCAGTGTCACCACATTGCCATCCCCTGGGAACATCGGCCAGAACAGCGTTTTAGGCTGCACCTTTGAGCCCGACATCGAGCTCGGCAGCACAGCGATTCGATGGGCAAAGGCTGGACTGGCAGGGCTGGTGCATGAGTTTAGAGGCGGGGAGGACCACCTGCAGGAGCAGGATGCGTCGTTCCAGGGCCGTACGGCGGTGTTTGCGGACCAGGTGGCTGGAGGAAACGCGTCCCTGCTGCTGCGAGGTGTGCGGCTCAATGACGCTGGCGCCTATCGCTGTGCCGTCACCACAGCCAGGGGCAGTGGCGCAGCTGTGCTGCAGTACAGGACTGGAGGTGAGCAAATGCTGTCAAGGGATCGGAGAAGGAAACCGTCCTACTGTCAAAGTGTTGCACTGAAACCGGACTTGTCCAAGGAGTTGTATATGCATGTTTATAGAGGGGGCGAAAAACCCATGGTATCAACGAGCAACGGAGATGAAAACTGCTTGCGTGTTCTGGGAACATTCATTCTGTGAAATCCTGAGTTGGATTGTGTGGAATTACTGCATTAATCTCTTCCATGGTTGTAACATAATCTGAAAAAAGAACGTTGTTTTTTTTCTCCCTCACTTTAAAATCAGTAAGGACGGGAAGTGCTGCATGGCCCTATTGACATTTTTGCTCGTGCCTAGATAAACTGTCCAAATGTCTGGAGTAGGAAAAATAAATAAGTAAGTGTAGTATGTGTAGGAGAGGGTTTTTTGGCTTTTCCAGAGGTGTTTATGGACTTACCCTCTCTTTCCACTTCCTTGTCCCAGAAAAGGCGATTATTATTTTAATGTTCTTCTTAGAAATTTACTTTCGTATTCTGTTTACCATACATAGTCTGCTAGTTACTCAACTGACTAAAAGGAGTCCTTAATTATAGAATGGGAGTATCTAACAGTACTCATAAACACCAAATTTTATACTTGCTAGAGATCCAGCTTTTACACTTGTTAAAGATAAAATGATAGCTTTTCCTCTCTAAAATGTAGATAATAATCTCCAGCCAGGTGAACTGCTTCATAGCAAAAAATTATAGCCAATTTAATACCTTTTCCCATTTTACTAATTTATTCAGTTTTTAAAAACAAAAATCAGAGCAGCAAACGGCTTATATCATAGCTATTTCAAGTATTACGTATTTTCTAGATTTAACTGTTCACCCTGTTGTGAAAATACATGCTAGCGTCTGTGACCGATCTTACAACATGCACAGTAACAGCTGAATTCTTCACTTGTGAGTGCTTAATTCTTCTGAAAATTCAGGCCAATTCTTCTGAAAATTACTGGCACAAAGCAAAGGCTTCCGCTGAACTCAGCAGTGTTTCATCTGCTTTTGTCATCTCTGCTTCTTTCTAATGAAATGGTGGTGAGTTATACTGACTACACTTGGTGCAGATATCATGAGTCAGCACAGGCAGGGGGGCTTACCAAGCGTTTTCCTGGGTGGCTTTTTTCATGGGTATGAAATGTTTCCAGGTTACCTGGGCATCCCTGAGGACATCTCTTGAACTCAGGGCTTGGCAGAAGGGAGTGGGGCCGTGATTTTCTGGAGCAACTTTCTAATGTAACCAGAAGAAATGTTAGAGAAGGAGTAAAACCTTAATGGCTCTTCAGCCTTCAGCAAGTTATTCCTCCAGGAGAGGAGGCCTGTTCTTCAGGCCAGTCATGGCAGTACAGTATTGACCAGCAGAGCTCTTGAATGAGACAGGCTGCTTTTCTGCAAGTCCAGTTTGCTTTGGCCAAGCAGAGCCAAAGCACCAGGATGTGGGCATCAGCTTCTGTACAGAAATTTGTGGCAGATGACTTGGGAGAACAAGGCTGCCTCTGCATGCTGTATGTTGCTTAACTTACATGGGAGCCTATCTTGGGACGTATAGGCACCACCAGAATTGATGTTGTAAGAACATCTGGCTGGCATGACTTTACACAGTATCCTGTTTCTTATGGAAAGTGTATTTTCTGCCCTGCTGCCATGTGAAGAACCTGCATGAACAGTGGAAAAAAAAAAAAATGGCTGTTTGTCTCACAGGTCCCATAATTTTGCAATTGCAGGGATTTAAGACCTGCTTGTAACTACAGTAGATGAGCAAGCTGAGTGCTTTGGCTCACTTAGGTGAGCTTAAGTCCCATGGGGACTCGGTCTCCTAGCCCACTTTGAAAACTTGTGAATCTGCCTGCTTTTGTTGGTTCTATCCTTAAGGTAATTCACACAAAAAAAAGACACCGGCGGTAATACATGAAATGCAGTATTAGCATTTCTTTCTACGAAAATTAGTGAATTCTGCCCTCCTTAAAGCTGTTGTTTCTCTTCAAGCATATAGGTGTGGGAAATACAGTGAAGAGGCTGAAGTGTGTTTTTCTAGAGGACGGAGGCTAAAAGAGACAAAAAGTTTTATCTGACGTGTTCTTAGTTTTAAACACAGCTGAGTTTGCAGTAGGCTTCAAATGCTTTGTTTCATTCAGGACCGCTGGTGAAAGTCCTGTAGCTCAGGGCTGTTGCGCACCATGGGCTGCCCACAGCCCCTGCAGGTGCAGGTGGAGCTGCCTTTGCTGCGGCACCCTTAGTGTGTGCATCAGGTCACCAAGCTGTAGCTGTCCGTCAGGCTCCCTCCTTGGTCAGTGGCAAGGGTGAGTCACCTTCCCCTTCCTCTGTGTTGTGGCAGGTGCCTCCTCTGAGCGTCTAGACTTTGGTACTGGTGAGCCAGGTTCTGCCTGCTGTGAGTCATGCTGGGGACGCTGGCCATCCTGCAGAGGCCGGTGCTCTTAGGCCTGCAAGGTCCTGAGCTCGGTCTGCTCTGGGCACTTGGGTGACCAGGATTTCCTAAGACATGCTTGGCTTATGGGGCTGGGATCAAGCTCGTAACTGGTAAGCAGAATTACTCAAAGAGGCTAAAGCTGTGCCACTACCTCAGCAGAACTTGGCAAGCTGTACACTGTGGTCTTTGCTATTCGATATTCAAACCTCTGTAGCCCAACCTGTACAGACGTGAGCTTCTGATTTTTGGTTGGGCTAAATGTAGTGCTGAGATGCTGACCATAAGTACCCTACTAGAAATACTTGGGACAGGGTGGCACGCAGTCGGGCATTGCCTGATTTCTGACTCTCTCCCTGTTTCTCTCCCACAAAGCCTTCAGCACCCCTGAGGTCCGTGTGGAGAAGAGCAGCAGTGGGGACGCTCTGCAGTGTGAAGCACCACGCTGGTTCCCTCGCCCCGCAGTGCGCTGGACAGCTGACAGTGATGCAGGAAAGAACCTACCCCAGGTTGCTAACACCAGCTATGAGCTGAACTCTGAAAACATCACCCTGAAGGTGGTCTCCTTTTTGCACAACATCACAGCTAACACCACCTACACCTGCGTGATTGAAAACAACATTGCCAAGGCGACAGGTGACATCAAAGTGACAGGTAGGGTCTAACACCATGCAGAGACCACACACATGGGGGAGCAGGTGGGTTAAACAATGTCTTCCCTGTGATGGTTAGTAGTTTCAGTCAAGGAAGAGAAGGCAGGGGGCCACTGCTTGTTGCCATCTTCCAGATCCAAAATAGCAAAATCTATCTATCTAGCCTACCTGCTAATACTCCCTCTTCTGAATAAGATGATCCTCAAATTTACTGGAATGGCTCTGTAGATTGTATGAAATCTATGACCAGTCCAGGCCTGTTCCTCTCTGGGACTGAGGAAATGGTCTGTTTTCGGTCCTGCTATTTCAGACATTTTCTACAGTCAGAATTGTTCCACGGGCACAAGGACAGAACTGCCCGAGGGCAGGAAGGAAGGAGGGAGGGACGCACTTCAAAATAATATGCTCATTTCTATGCTAACACAGAAAAGGGGGGAAAAAAAAACCCCAAACCCTCAACTTCTGACACTTTCTTTAGCCAGTTCAGCTCAGATTCTTTCGCCTAACAAACCAGCAGGCCTTTAACTGTTACTAGTGACTGTTTCTCTAACTTGAGCCTATCCTTTTTATTTAAGAAGCCTTCTTATTCACAGGAAAGCAAACTTTCGACAGAGCCTATTCTTCATGAAAAGGGCCATAGCTCATCTATAGTGAGTGCTTCACAGCAGTGGGTCTCCAGCACAAGAGGGAGGCCCTATCTTTATCAATATTCAAAAAAAGGGGGAGGAATAAATGTACTCACTCATCTTTCATGCTAACTGTATTTTCCTTTCTAGTAGCTTCTCACTGTTCCTCTGTTACAGATTTCAACATTACAAGGGGGACCAGCTTGCAGCTGGTGAATCTGGACATAGCATCAGCGTCCTCCTCCCTTCCCACCTGTCACTGGATGCTTCTACTTCCTCTGTATCAGCTGTCTATATAAAGCCTCTGTAAAGCTGTCAGAAACCCTGCTGGACCAGGAAAGAGAAGGCAGTAGGGGGAATTGGTATAAGACCTGTGGAGTCTCATGCTGAGTTTTGTTACAGCAGCAGGCTTATCTCAAGCCTGCTAGGATGGGAAGAGATGCCTTTCCCTTGTCCCTACCCTTTCCTCAACCCCAGTTTGAGGTGGGACCACTAGCTTGTCCCTATGACAAGCTCCTTGCTAGCTTCTCCCATCACCTTCTGTAACTTCAGAAATGTTTTCTTATACTCTCTGCTTCTGTCTCTTAGTTTTCCCCTCATTCTCATTTCCTTCCCTGCTCAGCCTTCTCGCTGATCCTAAACCCTTTTTGCTTCCTTCTGTTGAGCACCCTCTGAACCTTGGCTACAGTTCGTGGCTGTAAGAGAACGTGAACTTTTCCCTCTCCCTCTCCCTCTCCACAAGGCCTGCTGCAGTATGAGTCTTGCTTGCCCCCACTTTATTTAAACAGCTTTACTGCACAGTGCAGTGCCTTCAGTAAATACTACCAATGGGGGGGTTTCCTGCAGCACACCAGCCTGAGAAACCCCAGCCAGACGTGGAGTAAGGACTGCTGGGGGCAGTCACAGTAGAGAGGACAACTGCTTTTAGTCTTCATCAGCCTTGGCCTACCAGGCATTTATGCCCCTTCGGGTGGTGGGCTCTTCAGGTAAACTGGTGATGGAGCGCAGAGCTATAGAAAAAAAAAAATCAACTGAAAGGAACAGCTCTGTCTTTCCATACACAACAGTTACTACAGCTACCTTGACTACAGGTCACAGTTCCTGCTGCCTACTCTTTTGGATTGAGAACTTTCCAAGACCATCTCCCAGTTCCTGCTGGAGCATGCAGTGGCACAAACATGAAGCTGCTGTTGCTTTTGCTCTTGCATTATTATTTCTTATCCATGCCTACATCAGGACACATCATTTCAAATGTGGCTTCAAAAAGAAAGTGAGGGATGTGGTAAGGGCAGTTGGATATATGAAGAAGAAAAACAACTCTAATCACTGGAACAGAACTTGGTCTCGTGTCTGAAATAAGCCAGTGACCAAAGCGCCGATCATGGGCAGAATCTCACAGACAAACAGGAAGAGAGTTTCCTCCAGTAGGTCTAAGAACTGGTCCTTCAAATTCAGAACACTAAAGATTAATCAAATTTATTTGGAGGTTTTAATATTTGGTTATCTGTCTCATGACATGATTTGCTGAATGTACTAAGTAAACTATAAATATGAAAACTAGTTCAGCTTTTTGGTCTTCTACAGACTGTAATCAAACTCCCCTGCTGAAAAACATTTTTTGAACAGCAGCACATTGATGGATTAGAAACTAGCTAACAGACTAGGACCAAGTATTAGGTCTTCATCCTGATAAAGGTAAACAGAGTGCCTCAATTCCTGTATTAGGGCAGATGATTACATTTGTAACATGAAATAGAAGAGGAATGCATGAGCAGTAAAAGTGGCAGCAGAATAATAAGGAATGAGGAGGAAAAGAGGGAGACCAGTAGGATACTACTGGAAAGTTCAAGTTTAGAAATAAACCAAATTATTAAACATAGCTGAACTACAGAGACAAATGTAGGTTTTTTTTTTTTCCCCTTCTTAAAAAGACGTCTCTGTTAACTGGCACTTCCTATCTATTTCTGTAGCGTTGTCTGTTACTGTCACTTCATGTTACAGGGCTACTTTCAGTTGCTCTTTTTAAATCAAACTTTGATTGCTTCACTGTAGGCCACCTGCAGTCAACGTTTGCCTCAGGCAGAGATAGTTTATTTTATTTTCTTTTGGCATGCTTTAGCCAGAATCTTTACTATTTCTGAGAAAGTACCTACAGCAAAAAAAAGAAAGAATATAGCAAAACTTATATAGACCTTTAAACTGTTTTTGCAACCTTCTTTAGGATGGAGTTGCCTTTGTCAGGTCTTACGACACTCATTCTTTGGTCTAGAAGTGGCCAGCAAACCTTGAGAGGGAAGATACTTTACGCATGCTCAGTACACCCATCACATGAACTTCAACATCAGGCTCAGACTAAGTATGCACGTGTATGTGTAAAATACTGAACAAACAAAACCCGAAACAGGCTGCACTATTTGAATGCACTGTCTGCACTGCATACTGAACAAGGCAGGGAAGTAATTGCATGTGGAATTTACTAACCTAAAACACAAGATGAAACGTGGATATTATTTTTTCCAGCAGCAAGCGCAGAACAACTCAGTCATCACTAAGTAGATGCGTAGAACCTCTTCAAATGGTGATCTTCCATGGCTTGCATCTGCTCTAGTCTGCCATGCTGCTGTGGATATGAGCGCTTGCCATTGCAGTCGTTCCCTTCCCACTCCTTAACAATTGGACAAGTCTGTAGCAGGTTTGAATTCACATCATAGCTCACTACCTTCCTCTTATTACCACCCTCAAGTAATGTTTAGACCACTGTTTAAGCTGCAAAACAAGCCTATTATAGTAGTGATTTAGTCCCCAAATAGTAACTTGTTCACTTCCCTTCTCTTTTTGGAGGAAATGCTTTAAAACACACACACACACACACACACACACACACACACACACACACAGAATCTTTGGCCTAATCATTTCACTTGATTTACGCAGAATTTCCCCTGTGGAAACTGTACAGATTCCCATGAAGATAGTGAATGATGTGGAAAATGCCTGGCTTGGGCTCATAAATCAAAGATGCACGTTCTCCCCATATAGCAGGGAAAACTTAATATTAAAACAAATACTGTATTATTTAAAATGTATTTTAATAGCTTTATTTACAGTAGATACTACTATACAAAATACACACACTGTGTGTTCTAGGCCCAAAGTAATGGTTACCACGTAGGAGGGACTGAACATCTCTCTCCCAAAACGTAGCCCTGGTGGCAACGGTCCAGAGTGACCATTCAGGAATTCCAGAAGTCACAGCAGCTTCCTGGTTACAGCCTTCACCGGGTGCTCATAGGCCCATACTCTCACTGGAAACGAGGAGGAAAAACTGAGATACCTGGGGATGGGAGCTTTATATTTCTTCTCTTACTGCCAGAGGCGTTAAGCAGTGCGTCCCACTCAACAGTGGCTAGATGTCCTCCTAATCCTCTCGCTGTTCAGACAGCATAAGGCTTTTTGTTCTACTTCTTCCACGTTCAGGCACAGCAGGCTCGGTCGAGGTTGCACTTGCGACACAAACTCCACTTCACCACACCGAAAATTTCTCAGCTGCAGTGGAGCTGAAGTGAAAGGATAAAAACTGTAATAACTGGATACAGGGCTCTGGCTCCCTTCTAGCATACAACCGTGAAAGCTGCTGGGGGCAGGGAAGGGAAGGCCTTGCAACAGCTGCTTGGCATCTGCTAAACCACAAAGGATAGGAAGATTAATGAATGTATTATGAAAGCAGATTAATGCGTTTGGCCAGGACATTTCCAGCTTGCAGGAAACAGACTTTTTATAGTTTGAATCACTGAACTATGTGCTGTTCATGCAGACAATGCACTGGGCCATGTATCTCTTACCACCAATGGCACCCTGGCCTTACAGTGTTACATGATATCCAAAAGCTGTTGTCTCAACAGCAGAGCATCCTCTGGTGAGCTTAATTCAATCCCTGCAGTGCCTGGACCCTTCCCAAGCTTGCGTTAGCACAAGCAACGCAAGGAGATTATCTGCTTCACACAGTACTCTCCTTTGCACAGTTGTGGCACCATGAGCTCAGACACCAGCACCCATGAATTCAAAACTCTTCAAGACTCTGAATTATGGGATCATAGTGAGGATTTCCAGGCCTAGTCTTGACTCCACCTGCTGTCCTGGTTGAGGCCAAAAGGCATTGATTTGAGAGGCCTGCACAGTAACTGTCTGGACAGAGACCATGCCATCCCAGGACTGGGAAACAAAAAACAAAAAAGCTTTCTACGCGTTTCCACATCAGGGAGTGGGAGGGTGTAGGGGGGAAGCTAACAAAACATGTTCTTCTCCCCCATACCTCTTAGTGATACCTTAGAACAATTATTATCCTGGTTGTTTTAGCTGATATATTTTCCTGGAATTTAAATGGAAGAGCTCCACGCTCCTTGCCAGAACTGGGAGGACCATTCAATATTATGTCATTGTGTAAAATAAACTGTCATAAATAACATTTTTGCGTAAAGTGACTTTTTTTAAAAATATTCTGTGTTTTTGTAGCCACGGTTCTGCTAAGATCTCTTAGATCTACATTACAGAATTCACAATTCCACAGAAATCCTCCAGAGTTCTTGTTTTGTGGATAGTGAAGGCAACTCTCTTTCCCCAGCACAGTGAGGCAGCTCCTCCCAAGCTGAGCAGTACACAAGCCACAGTGTTTGCTTACCAGGCTGTAGGATCTTGGAGGGCTTCCTGTCTAGACTGAAATCCAGCAGGATAGGGCGACAGATGAGAGGACTCCTGCACAGGCTCCTTAGGTAGCAGGCGATGAGATCCTCAGGTTCCTCTACACACTGAGGAAGTAAAGGGAGCGCTGCCCAGTGAATTTGTGGAGGGAGGCAGAGAGCTGCAGGAGCGCCTGCAGCAAAGCGGGGAAATCCAGCCCAACCGAGGCTCAAGCCCAGCACACTGTAAATCACTGCTAGAATAACTTACTCACCCCTGTCCCAGTAGCTTCCCCGTGCTGGATGGACACTCTGCCTCTGCTCTGCACACAGTTCTGCACAGCTTCCCACTCATGGAGGCTCAGACCCAGCACTGCTGCCACATGCTGGTTCCTGCACAGCACCAGCGCTTCACCTGTTCCATCTTCTTCCAGCACCCTACAGACAGGGCGAGCCAAGAAGTGGAGGGAGGTCAGAAGGACAAGGCCCTGCTCTTTCATGAGAGAACAGATCTCAGGAGAGAGGGGGAGGTTTGTTCACGCCCGGGAAAACACGAACTTCAACTTTTGCTATTCTGCCCACACCCCACGCTTGACTTGCTTTTCCTTTCCTCCCTTAAACGGTGTCATCTTCCCACCTCTTCCCACTTCCAATCTCTCCAGCGCTTACCGTGCATTGGCTTGTCTCACTCCCATGTGCGACGGACAGGGTGGATTGTATCGGGTACACTTCCCCTGAAGGAAAAATAAAGCTACAGCTGCGTATGGGTGGCTGGTGAAAGAAAAGGTGAAGGACCAGTGCTTCTTTTAAGCCCCCTAATGAAGTATGAAATGGATTAAGGAACTTCTTCCCAAGACACTCATTGGAAATGAGTTTGTATGGGGACAAAAACAACTGCTGCAAGGTGGTGAAACCCAACAGCAGTGAATGTGGGGAAAGCAGAGCATTAACACAGCAGGATTCTCCCCTGAATAGCCTCCTCTCCCCTTCAGCTCTAGCTGCAGCCTTGCCTGATATCAGCTGCACACTTCCAGTAAGTTGCCATTTTGGTCCCTTTCTGTTGTGCAAGTCCCTTTCACGCACTGGAAGAAGAGGCTGTGGAATTGGGAGAGGAACTCTGTTCTGTATGGTAGCACAGAGTGTGTCTAAGCAGAAAACCCACACAGCTCCTCCCAAACTATCCCTGTAGCAGCTTGAGTACCTCTTTGAAGATGCTGTTGCAAAGTGAGCAAACCCATTGCAGGGACAGAGTCAGTACACATGACAAGTGGCATAAAATCCGTGCCTGGGACAGGTTTTGTAGGTGGAGTTGTAAGTTGGACAGAAACACCAATGAAGGTGATGAGGCTTCTCCTGCAGGACTAGAAAAAATAGGAATGTGATAAACTTGCAACAGAGAAAACTTTATTGGGACAGTAAAAGGTGGAAACAGACCCTAGACTAACCTTGAAGGAAGAGGTATGCGAGAAGCCGGCAGAGACGCAATGCTCATACAGCT